TCTGAATTAAGCAATGCTCCTTTCCCTCTGATCAGAAGTTAATGACATGATTGAGCAGCTATGAAATTTTAGCAGAGAAAGCACCACAAGCAAGTCATGGAAATTCCCTTTCTCCTGACTCCCACCTGAGCTGCTGCTTCCCCTGGGACACACCAGGCAATGCCACTCTGTCCATGAGCCCCTTGTGTACTGAATCCACCCCAAGTACCCCTGGGCCCTTGCAGAGTGACCCTCAACCACCCCAAAACCCCAGTGAGACACCACAGCCCGCTCTGGGAGCAATGAGTGCTGGAGGGAGGCTCCAGGGCCTTGTGGATCAGCTCTGCCCACACCCTGGGGCAGCTGGGTTCACCCTCCCCAAGCAGACAGACAATTTTCCCCTTCAGAGGAGTTCAGGCCCCTCATGATGTGTGGCAGATCTCTGGATCAGCTGGAGGATGAACTCTGAGGCACAGACAAGTCTCCTGAGCTTTGGTCAGCTTGCGTCACTCCATCATCCTTCCTCAGCCTCTCTGACTGAGATTTCATTTTTATTCCACTTGTGCTGCTCTCTCAGAAATGCCACGAACATCTGTGCTTGTCCCAAGCTGACATTTGTCATTAAAAGGGCCAGTTAATTGCAAGTGAAGCACCAGCCATGTAACCAGGCCTCTGGCCTGCTCTGTGGGCTCTGGATGGGCCTTGACTGCTCTGTGGGCTCCGGGTGGGCCCTGACTGCATTTCCCCCTGGAAAAGCCCGATCAGGAGCTGGGAATGAGGGACACAGCAGGGACACACCTCCCCTGGTGTGAGCTGGTGGCTTTCCAAGCCAGTCCTGACAAGAGGTCACACCAGAGGGACAAAGTCTGAGTTAGGGAGGGCAGGCTTCACATCATTACAGTCTCCTCTGGCTGCACATCCCAGATTTATGTGCCCAACACTACAATAAACTGCAGATATGTGCCCAGTGTTCTTTTGAGAGCATAATGGGGTTTTTTTAACGTGTTTGGAGCCCCCCCTTTTTTTTTTTCCTGCTAACTGAGGCAGCTACTGCTATTTTAATTCCATATTTAGAGACCTGTGTGGCAGAGCCCAAATCCTGATGATGATGATGCCAAGGAGATGAGGGGTTGCAGAGACTGCATGCAGCAGGATTTGCTTTGGGTGAAAAATGCTGGTAAACTTTCAGGCTACTCCCAGCTTTTATGTAGCACTAGCTAGCTTGTAAATCAGTCAGAAACCAAGAAATGCTAGAGTTGTGCAACTCTGGTTGGATCCTTGTGCCCTGGGTCCCATCTCCCTGGGGAGGTGTTGAACCCTGGTGAGAAGGGAGCCCTTGGGAGTGCCAGAACACAGGCAAGGCTGCCACCCCGTGGGGACACGGCTTGGCCAGGCAATCCCTGCCTGTCTCCAGGGCTGTCCCTCTGCCAGGAGCCAGGGGACAGCATTCCAGAGCTGAAGGATCAGCCTGGGGAGGATGCAGCATCCCTTAACTGCCCATTCCCTTGCAGAGAGGGCTGGGTGAGCTCTGGGTAAGCAGCATGAGGAGAAACCTCTTTATCCCCCTGCCAAGGAGGGTGACAAGCCAGGAGCTCTGCCCCAAATACTCAGGGACATCTTCCTGGCTGGTGGCCTGCAGATTGGACCCTGCCAGTTCTTGCTCCTGGATTTTTCTTGGAGGAACAGGACCCTGGCAGAGGCACCCTGCCCAGGCAGGGCAGTGCCACCAGAAGCTGCTGCTGTCCCCTAGGTCACTGCCACCCCACTGAGCCTGTGAGAAGAGAGGAGTTACTTGGAGGAGGCTGCATGTCCCTGCAGCACCATCTGCTGCCTCCTCCTGAGAGCCCTCTCGTAATTCCTCTGGAGGAGAAGCTAAAGTCATTTCTGCTTTGCTGTGGGGAAACAAGATTACCAGTCTGGGTGGAAAAGGAGGGCAGGTAATAAAAACACACTGCAAAAAGGATGAATAGTCACTCTGAGTAGAAGGCCCTGGTTAAAGGCCACACTTTACAACCTGACCAGACACTTTGAAAGTTCCCTGTTGCTGTCTTTTCCTCCACCATAAAACTATTGATTCATCCACAACCAAAAAACCTCCAAGAAATTTTGTTAATCCTTAAAGAGTGTTATCAACACCTTACTAACAGGTGAATTTGCAAAGAAAGTTGTGGTGAAGAGCTCCTTCCTGAAACCACCATAGGTTATGAATAACAATAATTTCTTTAAATGACAATTAATCTCAGCAAAGAGAAACAATAATTTTTGCACAGAAGAGGAAGAAGAGGAGGAGTATCCTGGACAGATGTGACTGGGAAGATTTCTGGGTGAAAAAATTGAAATATTTTGAGTGACACAAAGGCATTAGTGGCAGTGCTCAAGCTGTTCTGCAAGTGGATGAGCCTTTTGGGGTCAGAGGGGCTCTGGGTTTGGGGACACATTCCCTATCCCACACAAAACACCATCAGACACCCGAATGCCCTTGCATAGAGGCTTTCAGAGCTGCTTATGGGTTTAATTAGCTTATGGATTGCAAAAGGCTTTAAAATCATCCCTTCTCAGAGCAGGGAGGCAGTCATGGTGTGGTGTCCCCAAAAGTCAGGCCAGCATGGATCCTGAGCTGCTGCCCCCTTGTGCGGCTCCTGGCTTGCCTCAAACTTGCCCTGATTTCCTGTCATCATTTCCTATCAAAACTCTCACTTTCTGCCAGCCACGCATAAAAGGGGGGCCACAAATGGCTCAAATGTCATTTCATGGCCCTGACAGACACACACAGGCTGCTCAGGCACCTGCAGGTAACATCTGCACACAGATCACGCTCAGAATCTGTTTCCCTGTTTTTACACCTCTGAGAGGTTTGAATGGGGGTCAAATGTCTGGGATTTTATTATTTTTTTCCTCCTGGCTTTGCTGGGTTTCTGTCAGGAAGGGGAGAGGTGTCAGCAAACAGCAGGGAGGCACCGAGGCTCTGGCAAAAGATGCATCTGAAGGGAAGGCAGCAGAGGCTGGGGACCTGTTAGCACCAGGCAAACAGGCAGCTTCAATTAAAATGTCCTTTCCATGCCTGCAGCCACAGCTCCCCCCTGAAATGGAATTGCCCTTTCCCAAAATGCATGCATTCACGCCTTTCCCCCAGAGATGCAAACACAACAGGGGCTGCACAATTTGTGGTAGAAAGCTCTGAGATTGCCCAGTAATTAATCTCAGTAAAAAATTGGTTTAAAAGAGTGTCAGACGCTGAGGGGATTTATTGCTTTCTAATTACCAGACAGAAATCTCCCTCCTTTGCTTTCTCCTGCATCTGCAGCTCTTTCCCCCTCCTGCAGCCTTGTCCCAGCCTCTGCAACAGGTGCTGTGATGCTGGTCCCAGTAATGATCACTTAGGGGATGAGCCCTGGGGCACATTCAATTTCTCTGGATAAGAGATGATGCCTCTGCTCCTTAAGTCCCAGCCCTCCCTGAGTTTTGGCCTAGATATGGCAGAAGCAAGTGGCTTTTAAATTTAAATAGTCTCAGAGCTTCTGTGTTTATGGCTCATATTAATATCCAAGCCCACACAGTGAGAAAAAAAGAAAAAAGCAACAAACAACTGCATTTATTTCCTCTGTTTTCCACAGCTAATCAGCATCAAAGAGGAATGGTCTGCTCAGCTTTTTGGCAGAGCAAAAACTGTCTGAGATGATCATACCTATGTGGTAAATTATGGGGATGTGGGGCCCTTTCCTGAACACCCTGGATATCCATCTGTGTGGAAAGTTGTTTGAGCAGAGCATGAGTGCTGAAACCTTTACTCTTGGGTATTCACACACACTGGAGCTGTGAATTTCATGCATGGCAACTGCAGGGAGAGCTCGTACCTCCACCCCACCCGCACTGCCATCAAACAACCTTTAAAAATCATTAATTTCAGATTAAATCTGTCACGTGGTACCATTGGGCATGAGGTTTGAAGCGCTGTTTGTACTGACCCAGGGGTCTGAAGGAATGGTGTGGTGGTCAGGCTGCTGAGTATTGTTCTTTCTCTGATCCTTTTATCTTGGGTTTTTGTGGTTGAGATGACCTCGAGGTATTGGAAAGTCTCTTTTTTCCAGCCCCACAACCAAAGAAGAAGTTGAGATTCGTCGGTTCTGCTTTTCGAGGTTTGTTCATTTCTCCTATCTATTACATTCTTTCTCTGACCTGCTGAGATCTGTCCAGCAGGTCGTTGTGGCACAGTCCATGCCTTTTGGGGTGGTGTTAACTTTTTATGCTAAGAACTACGTGTACTTTATTTACAATAATTTTCCAATACCTATCACCTATGTTAGACAGTCAGTCTCTACTCTAAACCAATCCAGAAGTGTCACCATCCCAGCAGAAGATGGAGGACAAGAAGGAGAGGAAGGATAGAACACACTCAGATTCCTCCATCTTGCCTCTTGAACCCCCATTCTAAATCCCCAAAATTCTACTTTTTCACCCTGTGATAAATTAACTATCATTCTACTCAAGCTCTTGTGGCTTGTAAATCTTCACACAAAGTTGGTAATTGTTTCCATGGGATAAAATCAAAGGCACAGGTGTCTTTGACTCCATGCCAGGTCTCTCAGCCCCCTTGCCAGGGCCTTGAATCACCCAGGCCAGCCAGAGAAATGTCCTGGGTCCCGACACTTTTGGTTTTGTTTGCATGAGGGATAACAGAAACACAAAAGAAAGGGTGAGCCATCCTCACAAAAAGTACTTCCAGCAGTGGAAAGCACATCCTCCAAGTGGTGCTGGGCACCACAGTGACCTTCTTGAGCCTTCCAAAGGAAGAAATTAAACCCCCAACGCCGGTTGCGTGTTTCCTATATCACTTTATTGACCGCCACTGACCACGTTCTCAGGTTGAACGCCAGATACCAGCGGGAGAGGTGGAGCTACCCTAGAGTTACAGGAGAGCAAGGGAGACAGTGTGTCAAACACAGGCTGGGGAGAGCTGGCTGGGGATGGGAAGCCTCTGCACAGTGGTGAGCCCCCCTCTCTCCCCCCCAAGGGCCTACAAAGACGGTGGAAAGACGTGCTTGTCCTCCTGTCAGTTGTCCCAGAGGGAAATGACAGGGCAGAGGTGTGAACAGAGACACTTAAACACTTTGCTGAAAGAAAAAAAAAATACACATTGCAACCCCCCGAAGGTGAGATGTTATTGGTAATTATTATTATTGTTGTTATTATTTCTCCTGCAGTTGCAAGGAACTCATGGCAGGTTCGGGGCCTTGAGTGTCGGGCTTGGCTCTGTTGCTGTTTGAGAGTAACCAGTTGTGGGGTACAGCAATTCTGCAGGGCTTTTCCCCTGTCCCAAGCCTTGCCTCAAGGCTTGGTGCACCAGCAGACAGTGTTACTCGTGCACTCCTTCCTGCCTGATGGTGGAAATGGGATACAGCACCAGACAAAGACCCTTTCAGCAAGTACAGCAGCATGGCAGCACTGCCATCCATGCCATCCCCACCAGGTTTAAGCTTCCAAGTCCACCAGCCGCTCACCCAGCCCCCCGTTCCATCTGAGGGAAGAGGGGGAAAACAAAAAAGAAGAAAACAAAAAAAAGAAGGAAACAAAGTGGGGGAGGAACCAAGAGAAGAAACCCCTCTAGACATTCACTGATATCTATGCCAAGGCTCTGGGAGCGGGACCTGCAGGTGGTGGCAGCCGGCCCAGCGCCGCCGGGCTCAGGAGGAGGGCGCCGAGCTGGGCTTCTCCTCCCGGGACACGGGGATGGGCCTCTCGCTGTGGCTGGCGTCCATGTTGGAGGGGACCTTGGGGCCCGAGAAGGTCAGCATGCCATCGTTGGACAGCGAGCAGGTGATGGCAGCCTGGTCCACGTTGGCAGGCAGGCGGTACCGGCGGTGGAATTCCCGGGAGATGTAGCCATGGTCGTCCTGAGAGGCAGTGGGGAAAGGGGGGGAAGGCGTGTCAGAAACTCCCTGTGCCTCCCTTTGTCCATCTCCCACAATCACCCTGGTTCATTGTGACACTGCACTGCCAGGACTGCTGGGCATGCCTCTGCTGGGGTTAACTTCACAGGTTTGTCCCCCCTGACACCTGTGAAGCTGCAAGAGCTGAGCACAGCAGCAGGGAGTGATTTTGGCCATAGGTTTGATCCCAGGCTGGGATTTGATTTGGGCTTCTGATTTCAAAGGACGCTTGGACACAAAGTCTGGAGGCCTGGGAAGGTAAAGGCAAGGCAGACGTGTGCAGCCATGCATTTATTTATCAGGCTGCAATTCTGTGTCAGCCAAAGTACACAATCCTGGCCCCCTTCTTTTTTTGGCCAAAAGAATGAGAAGTCGCAATTATTTTTTTAAAGTTGGCCATGAGAATAATAACTATATTTAAAAATACATACTGTTTCCAGGCTAGAGCCTTGTCTAGCCAAAAATGTGTATGAGAAAATTAAACCCCTGCTGGTATAATTCACTTTTCGACCCCCACAGATATTTCCATGACATCCATGTTAAAAGTTTCCAAGCCTGAGGCACTTGGTTGGTTTTCTTTTGTTTTGTTTGCTCTTGCTTTTCTCTCCCAGACTGGCATATAAAAACTCTGTTTTCACTAAGGATTCTGGCTTATGAAAACTCAGCCATGCTTCAGTAGTGCCAGATGATGTTCTGTGTCTGGCTCAGTGTTATTAGTGAACAATGGACATGGTCATCTGATGGTTATGGAAGATGATGATTGAAAATAAACAAAAGAGGGGTGGATTAGCTTGTTATTTTCAGATATCAGGTGGGGGCTCTATGGAAACAGCCCATGCCAATAATGACAATTCATAATTAACTCCTTCTTCTGATATAGTCATTTTTTTTTCCTTCAGCTGAGAACTGTTGGAAAGAAGGAAAACAGAGCTGGACTCTCCAGCTGCTCCACCATCACCATCACTTCCACTTACCTGCCTTTCACTGTGCTTGCCATGGATTTCCACAAAGTCGTCAATAATCTTCACGCTCAAGTCTTCGGGAGAGAAGTGTTTTACATCCAGCATGATTGTGAACTTGTCCCGATCAGACCTCACCTGAAACGAGCATTGTCACACAGTGAGGCCCCAGCTCTGGCTGTGGGGCACTGCCAACATCACCACAGGTCAAAGTACAAAAAAGGGGTGCTCTGGCACTTTTCCTTCTGTGACTCTGGGCCTCAGCAGGGTCTTCTTCCCATTGTGGGGACCCAGGGAGAGTGAGAGGGCGTGGGAGGTGTCAGGGTCACTGGGAGGCTGTGAGAGGTGTCAGGGTCACCAGGAGGCCATGGTTGGTGTCAGGGTCACCAGGAGGCCATGGTTGGTGTGTCTGCACCTTGGCTACTGCTCTGGGGAGAGGTGTTATTATCCTTGCTGCTATTCTTGCACTAAAAGGGGACCCTTTAGCACTTAGTGACCTGCCAGATAGGCCAGGCACAGAGAAGGGATGGAAACCAGTGTAAGACTCTCTGGGAGCACGTGTTTTGTCCTTTCAGTGATTTATGATTTCGTTGTGGTCATAGCTCTGGGAGGAAAGCAGTAAGAGAAGGCTACAGAAAGCACCTGAATTTCAGATCACAGACCCCATAGCTACACATTCTCCTACAGAAAATTGCTCTGGGGTCCTTCAGTGAGAGATTGCAAAACCACCAAGCTCCCAAGGTGGAGAAAACTCCCACTTGCCAGGGTCCTCTCCCAAGGCGAGCTGCCCTCAGAGGCACTAATTCTGGCAGCAACCTTGCTCTTCTTCACTACACAGGTAGTGGGCACAGAGGAACAAAACCAGCCTTTTTGTGTTGGAAACAACCCTCAAAAGGAGCCAGAATGGTTCCTGTTTCTCGAAGGGAAGCTTTGTCCCCAGTGAGGGCTCCCCTTTGTGCCCAAGAAGGGGTGGGTGGGCTGTGCCTGGCAGTGGCTTTGGGGTCTTCCTTGTCCAGGAAATGTGAGATGTGGGTGGAGAGGAGCAGTTGGAGGCACAAGGAGGGAGAGGAAGGAAAGGAGAAGAAATCAAAGGGCCCCCTTACCTCTGAAATGCCCGACTCCAGCACGCTGCGGAAGAGGGACTGCCTGTAGTAGGGGCTGATAGTGGACGAGAACAGAGGCAGGAGGTCATACTCGAGGAGACCCTCTCCAAAAAACTGGTCAAACAAACGGCTTGGAATGAGGGGTCCCAGAGCACGCTTGAACCAGGGGTGCTGGATGGTAATGTCCATGCTGCTGCTGCTGCTGCTGCTGCTGCTGCTGCTGAGACCTGTGGCTGCAAGGGGAGAGCAGAAGGGGCAGCGCCGCTGCTGGGGAGACGGCGATGCCTTGGCTGGAGTGCAGCCCCAGGGAAGCTGCCCCTATATATACCGGCCTGGCAGAATGAAGGCATTAGCAGGATTCCTCTGGAAAGACATGATCTCATGATGGAGGCAACGTGGTCAGCAGAAATGCGGAGACTGACCTGGAAATGACAGTCTGGTTGGAATCGGTGCCAGATGTCCTGGAGGGATGATGCCAGGCAAGCAGGCTGCGAGGCACAGGGTGCCCAGGGGTGCTGGCACGTCCCCTGTGGAATCAAGCAGGCTGAGCAGGACACCCCGGTGGGCAACTCAAAGATGCTTCTGAAAGAGATCTGCTCCATGGGTCTTCGCAACCTGACCCTGGGTTTCATTAATTTGCTTCTTTTCTGCCCCTCCTCGAAGCAGAAACTCAATATTTCTTCCAAATAAATGCAACAGCTTTCCTCCAAGCAAGGAAAAAGGGTCGGTTTCAGGTTGAAGAAGGGGAAACTTTTTTGTAACTCACTACAAAGTGCCTCTGCCACTCAAGAGGGGCCTGATGCTCCTGGCACAGGGATCATGGCAGGACTGGCAGGGAAGCAGGGCTAACAAATGATGCAGATCATCATTTTTTGTCTGACAAAACAAAAACTTTCAACAAAAAATACTTTTGCTAAAGAAAGAAAGAAAAATAAGCTTGGTCTCCCACCGTAACATCGGTCCCAAAGCTGCTCTTGAGAGTGTCCTTGTTTTGATTTAGGAGTGATGTGGGAGATCCATTTATCTCATGGTGTCACAGCACAGATCCTGCTTAACATGCATTTCTGGTTACAGCTGTTTTTCATTTCTGTTTCCCTAAAAGCCTCCTTTAAGGGGTCAGCTGGCACCCTATGGCTGCCGGGCAATGGGCACCGTGCCCGCCGCCGGAGCCGCAGGCTCTGCCAGAGAGCTGAGGTGGCTGGGCTCTGAAAGGGCAGCCAGGCTGCCCAGCTCCACAGCAGGGCTCACAGCCTGTGGCCACAGCTGAAAACCCATTTCCATCACATCCAGAGATGCAGGGGTTGTGTTCCAGGAGCCTCTGAGCAGCAGAAACACCCATGCTGGGAGTCTTGTGCACCTTTTACAGCCAGCAGAGAACAAAAGAAAAAGAGGAGAGGGCACTTCCAAAAGGCACTCCAGATACAAGGGGCTGAATCATCCTCTCACATTGTCAGGGACTACAGAAACTAAGGGTGGTTGAGATCTTGTCCTCTTCTTTGGGAGAAACCAGATCATTCCAGGCCAGAGGAGCCTGAGAAAAGCACTGAGGCTTTTCTAGCACTGAGTGATATCCAGTTGGGAATCACCTGGCATCCAGGCACTGTATGGTCTTGGAAAATCCTTGACCTTGGAGGAATTGTAGGAGCCAGAAGATCCTGTTACAGAGACTTTCCTTCATGAAAAGCAAAACCACCCAAAACCACAGTAAAGGGTACTAAGAAGACAGACAAGAGCTTAGGTTCCACCTTACGTGGCTCCAACAAGAAAAGGTCCCATGATCTGGCCTTGGCTCTCAGGCATGAAGGATTTTCTAAAATCAGGTGTTAAAAACAGATCAGTCACTCCTCAAGCCATGGAGGGGGAAACCACAAGAGAGACCTAACCCCTCATTTATTCCCATTGTACCAAATTTGTCATTTTGTTAGAGGAATTAAGGGGAAGCAAACGAGTCGTGAAGCACTACCAAGATTTTTTTCTTCAAGAACTCTGTGAGATTTGTCCTGGCAGTGGAAAAAAAATATCTCTCGTCAGCCAGCCAGTTCCAGAGACCTGCTAACCTGTATTTATCCAGCTGGCAGCAGTGACCTGATGCAGAATCCATCACCTGATGTGCAGGGTAAGAGGAAAAATGAGAGGAGAGATACAGGAACAAGTTCAAATCCCAAAGCACTCACTGGAACACACAAAGCAAGTTATTTATTTGGCTGGTAGAGGAACTGTGGGAACTGTGCTCACACAGAAAATGAGATTTGGGGGTCTGACAGACCATTTAGGCCCAGGTGAGGGGTGAGGTGTGAATGCCATCCCTAAAGGGTGTTGGGAACATCCGCTCTGTGTTTCCCAAATCAGGGGTTATGGTGGGAGCACAGGGAGCAATGCACACAATGGCAGGATCATCTCTGGGCATCCTTCAGTCCTCACAAAACTGCCAAACCCTTCAGCTCTGACCTCCAGAGTGTCCCCCAGATTATTCCCTGGATTATTGAGGCCAGGAGGAAGGAGGGAGCCCAGGCTGCTTTAAGCCAAATCCAACCAGGCCTTGAACACTTCCAGGGATGGGGCAGCCACAGCTTCTCTGGGCACCCTGTGCCAGTGGGCAATATACAGGGAACCAGAGCCATCTGTATGTTCAGAGAGATGAAAGGAATTGACTTGTGAGAGAAAAATGAGAAATATGTGTTCAAGTGAATTTTATCTGAATTTATGTATATTACCACACACTCAAATAATTGAAAAGCATCAACCAACTTTGTGGTTTTATGTCTTTATTTTCTTCTGGACCTACATTTTCATGGCTTTCCCTAGAATTAATCATATCCATATGTCTTAGGCAGACATTTTTGTCCTTTGTGGGCAAAAATATTTCCCTGAAATGTAAATACCATTTACAGGTTTTTTTCTGATGCAGACTTCACACTGCCTGTGTGTCTCTGGGGAAAAGACCGATCTCCTGAGATGCATCACATGTGACTTGCAATGGTCTAAAGCTTCTGTGTCCTGTTCAGATGAGTTGTCCATGCTGTCTGGGGGGACAGATGCCTCCAGATCACATCATCATCATGTGGGTGAGCAGAAAGGTGGAATGAGACCCCTTTAGCAGTGTCTGTGTCTCAGGAGGGAGCTGAGGAGGCAATTCTAATTCTAATTCTAATCTCCTTCTGCACAAGCAAAGCTGCTGAGATGAATCCCATCCAGTGGGAATTTGGTATGAGAAGAGAAAGTGATCATTTTGCATCAGTTCAGCAGCCCAGACCTCACAAGACACGCAACATTTGAGCATCATTATCACCTGCTGAGCAACAGCAGTGAGATTTGTTGGCAGAAATTGAATGGAAGAAAATTAATGCATATGGTCATGAACACATCCCAGAGCAATGCATCAAAGGCAGTTTTTCCCCAAATATTCATTGCAAGTTTAGAACATGAGTCAAACTGAGGAATTCCTCCAGAATGTTCTGCTGTCCAGCTTACCTTTGAAATAATCCCTTCCTAAATCATGATGTGTAATTGCCAGCATGGGAGTGAGACATTTAGTAAAGGATAAACTGAAGAAATCCCAGACCACGTTCCTGAGTAAAGCTGCCATCAGCAATCCCAGCCCTTGCTTGTGTTTAGCTGCTCCCAGTTTGTCTCCATGGCTGACTCCCACCTCCTCATTTCCAGATGAGTCCAGGGCTGTCTCCAACCCCCTTGCCAAGCTCTGTGCAAGCCCAGGGTGAAGAAAAAAGCAAATTTTGAAGTGCAGCTGACACTGGTCAGTTGTAGTGACTGGGGAGGGTTTGTAGGAGATTCTGAAGTGCTGCCAGAAGGGAGGTTCCTGTTCCCATCTGCTTTGCTGCAGCCCCAGGAGAGCCAAGAAAGACAGACCCTGCTCTGATCTGCACTTCTGCTCAAGTCAGGTGTACCCTGTTGTCACTGTCAAATTTTCTGAAAAATCCTTCACCAGGATTGTTTCTCCTGGGAAGCTGAGAAGCCTCAGAGAAAAATGAAAACAATAATTATCTGATTGCTTCTCCTGTGTTTGCTGCTTTGGAATGTGGTTGGAGATTGTTTATCCAACAGGTGATTGTTTGATTGGTTTCATGTGAATTGTTTTAACTTTATGACTAATCACCTCCAGCTGTGTCTGAGGAGTCAGTCACAAGTTTTTAGTTAGTATCTTGTTAAGCCTTCTGTCTGTATCCTTTCTCTGTTCTTTAGTGTAGTTTCAGTATAGCATTCTTTAATATAATATAAGTACATAAGATAATAAATTAGCCTTCTGAGAACAGGGAGTCAGATTCTCAATTTTCCTTCATCCTGGAGACCCAGCAAATACCACACTCTGTCACCCTGCAGAGGATGCAATCTCCTTCCATGAGATAGTTCTAATGGAAAACAGGAATGCATCCCAGTGTTTTTTCTTTCAAATACACATATCTACCCCCAAAATACAACTATATTCATCTAAAAGGTCCTCTGTGTTTAGATGTCAGCTTTTTAGTCATGATATAAGGGATTGAGCAATCTCTGGCAATATTTAATGATAAAATTGTTGCAGCATGCCAGTCAGACTGTTTCCACTTCATAGAAATCTCTGAGTTACAAAAACAAGATCATGAGAGGGACATGAAGCTACAGTAAATAATAATGTGATTTTTTTTTTGCAAGTTTTCTTCCTGCCACTCTTGCTGCTGTGGAAAATACCACTTAACGCATGTAAGAAAGCTGCTGAGTGGGAAAAGAAAGAAAAGACCATGTTTTTCTTAATCTTGCATAGATCAAGCTTTGGAAAGGATGCAAGAAGTCAGTATGAAGTCATAGAAGTCAGAATGCAAGCAATCAAGCACAAAGGGCAGGCTCACTCCTGGTTATCAGTTTTGGCTGCTAAGCACTTACTAAAAGCTTTTCCTAGAAATGACCACAGAGCAATTTTTTCTTTCTTTTTAAGGGAAAAGTCCTGTTTTAATAAGACTCATTTCCTGTTCCTCATGGCCAGGAGCTTCAAAACTTTCCACCACGGTGGACCTGGGATGCTGATGGAGGAAGGAGCAGGTGATTATAACAGCAGTGAGACTCATTTCTCTCCCCACCAGACACCATGGAAAGCAGGACAGCAGTGATCCTGATGAGTTCTGGGTGCTGGTGACATCTTGTTGAAGTTTATAAGGGATGGGAGGAAGGGAGGCCACGTTATCAGTGCAGTTTACACCATGCTTACCTGGGGTTGGGGCTGCAGGCCTGGCATGAGAAATGGCAGGCACTATTTTTTTTTTAACTAGATTAATCAGTGATTCTTATTAAAAGCAAAG